TTAGGTCCACACACTCAAAAAATATTGCAAATAATTAAGAGTTGACCATAGGATAAAAATCAAACCATAAAGCTACTAAAAGAAGATAAAGGTGAATATTATTTGATCTGAGATTGGGCAAGGCTTTTATAGAGATAAAGGAAAAAGAAGAAATCCACACATGAAAGAATGAGGAAGTTAATTACAATCCTTTTAAATTGTGTCTCAAAAGGCCCTGCAAACATTATCTAAAAACAAAGTAAGGAAAATAAATACTGCAAATAAAGCTAAAGGCTAAAAGATCATTTATATACATAAGAAAAGCACTTAAAATCCTGATATAAAAAAAAGTCATAGAGTATAAACACATAGGGTAGGGAAGGCACACCCAAGGGACTCAAGGAAATTTGGGGGGAGGGGGGAAGGGAAGAAAATATTAGAACTTTTAACCTAGTTTTTAAAAATCTCTATTTTGGGATATGTTTGTTAGCTTACATGTATTAGAAAAATACTGCATAAGTAGCTATGGATATTTGCAGAATGTACATGAATAAGATCAGAAGTTTCAAATCATAGAGAAAAGAAAATACCGATAAGCTAATTTTAAAAAAGTATTTAGCCTTCTTACTAAACAAAAGAATGCAAAAACAAGAAAAAAGAAAACATTCTCCATATGAAGTTAGTGAAGCTGTGTTTTTGTTGATTAGGATGTAACTCAAGCCCTGCCAATGAAAATATAAAATTGGGTAAAATCGTCTGAAAAGTGGCTGGGAAAAATGTGTCAAAAGGATTTTTTAATATTAATTTTTAAATACTAATTGTATTTGTTAACATTAGTAGCAATCATATTTACTAATACATCTGTTAATATTAATTTAGTTGTGTTAATCTACCAATATTAATTAAAATTAATGGCTTGTTAATTTAATAACTTTGGTTTAGAGCTGCCAGATTTAGCAAACTGCATGGGACATACTTATTAAAAAATTATTCATTGTTTATCTAAAATGCAAATTTAACTGAGCACCCTGTATTTTGTCTGTTAACACTACTTTCACTCTATAATTCTAATTTTAAGATCTTATCCTAAAGAAATATATAAGGACAAATCTTTCTGAAAGATAAAAAATAATCTAAATGTCAGTATTTGAGACAGGCTCACGTAAGTTCAGGTGCATCCAGGAAGGAACACAGTCATTGTAAGCTATACAAATGAGAATAAAAACCAGCCATTTTCTGTGCTATGGGTAGACAGAGTGTTTGTTGGGAAGATACTTCAATGAATCTCTTGATTATGTGATAAGGTCACGAGATGAAGCATTTAAATAAGAAAGTGCTAAACTGCCTGGTGGCTTAATGGAAGTTTCAGGAAACAGCAGAGCAGAGTCTTCTAGGAGTTTCCCAGGTGCCCAAGTCCATGGTAACAGGCCAAGGACCGAGAGAGTCAATAGTGATTCTTGTAGAGGGATGACGGCCGATGGACACAGGAGTGGGACATCCAGCACTTGACTTTCAGTTTTGTTTTCTGCATTGGGACAGCATATAGGTTCACCACTCCTGCAATTCTGAAACCCAAAATGCTCTGAAAGCCTCGAGATTTTTGTTGTCTTTAAAAAAATAATATTGGTGCCAAACTTACAGCAGAAAACCTGACCTGAACTGGAAGGAAACTTAGTTTCTCCTGATCTGACTTTATGGGGAAATTTCTAAGTTCTGCTGAGGTAATGTCAATGTGCTTCCCACCCTGCGTGTTCTAGAGATGGAGCGTGTACAACATACGTGCACTCTGATCTGTCAAGGTCCCATTGTAACAGGGTGGTCCCCAGGAAAGGGGGAGGTTCCAGGTTCCCTGCCCCACCCAAATGGAGGGTGGAGCTGAGCAGGAAGAGAAGAAGCTGCAGAGGAGACTGAGGAAGGAAGCAGGATGGAGCCAGAAGGAGACCTGGAGGAGGTACATGGAGCCTAGAGACACGTGAAGAAACTGCGCTTGCCTTTTGGTCGTCGACTGGGTGACACAGATGTGGGTGAGACCCGTGGGGAGGTGACAATGGCAGCTTTTATCTTGATTTTGATTTTGCTCTTTTCCTTCCGGGCTTGTCTGGTTGTTTCTGACCCTTTTCTGTGGGTCCCCATTGGAAGATGCTTTAGACTTGTGGCAGGCTTTGGGGCCTTGCTCTGGGCCAATCCCATTTGGATGGAGTTTTACCCCGAGGGGACGGGTAACTTTGGGTGCTTGATTTAGAAACTAGATTCTCTGCCTTTCCTGTATTGTTTCCTAATTGTATTAAAGTTCCTTCCCATTAAAGTCTCATGTTTTGTGTTAATGTGGCGGATGGCAGAACCCTATATAGAATAGGCAGGTTTTTGGGGTTTGGGCTGCCCCTCTCCTTGCACTGTAACACAATCACTCTGAGTTCCAAAACTTTGGAACCAGAGGTTTCAGAATGAGAGACTATGGACTTGCCATGTTCCTGCAGTGTCAATAATTTCCTTTCCTGTACATGCGTCAGTCGTGGATAATGGGAGGGGTCAGTGCCTATGTCCTGGATAAAGTGGAAAATAAAGAGTCACAGCTGACAGAGAGGTGAGCAGGAGATGGTCAGAGATGGCTGGGCAGAAGCCAGGACCAGCATCCTAGAGCCAGAAAGGACAGTAACAGCCAGAGAGCGCCCAGTGGACCCTGGGTTGACAAAAAGGGATGATGCCTTCTGTTGTGGGAGCAGAAAGAAAGCTAAAGACACACCCACACTCTGAAACCCCCTGCCAGCCTCATTTAGAACAGTAAGAGCACAACAAGGGAACTCCTGTTGGTTATCAGCAGAAATCTGAGAGGCCCACCAAGGATATCCGCATTTGGGGGAAGAGATGAGGAATGTGTTTTCACACCTAAACCGCATCAAGAGTACCTGAGGCCCATTCAGCAGCCCCCCAAACCTCTGCCCCCCTCCTTCACCCAGATAGCATCTAGCTGTAGTAGTTTCCTGTGGCCAATGTAACAATAAGCTTAATGACTTACAACAATGCAAATGTGTTATCTTGTGGTTCTAGAAGTTGGAAATCTGAAAGGGGTCTCCCTGGGCCAAAAGCAAGGTGCCAGGAGTGCTGCTTTCCTCTCTGAAGGCTCCAGGAGAGACTCTTTTTCAGGTTGGAGGAGCTGTCTGCATCCTGTGGCTCTTTCCCCCCTTCAAAAATGCAAAAATAGATCTACCTTAGGACCCAGCCTCCCCTCTCCCAGGTATCTACCCTAAGGACACATGAACACTAATTCAAGGGATAGATGCACACCTGTGCTGATTATAGAACTGTTTACAATAGCCAAGCCATGAGGAAGAAGATGTGATCAACATACACAATGAAATATTACTCAGCTATAAGAAAAAATGAAATCTTGCCATTTGGGATAACGTGGATGGAACTGGAGGGTGTTTATGCTAAGCAAAATAAATCAAAAGGAGAAAGACAAATACTGGATAATTTTACTCATATGTGGAATAGAGAGAAACAAAACAAAGGGACAGAAAAACTAAAACAAAACAATTGAAGATACAATGAGGGTCAGGGAAAGGGGTCTAATGGACCAGGATGGGGATCATGGGTATGTGGTGGGGGCATGGTGTTAGAACAACCATCTGAAGAGGTGTGACCCTGTACCCCAAAATCATATACAGTATTGTTAACCATTGTTACCTCAATAAAAAAATACAGTAAAAATAATGACTAGAATCTAAAAATGAGTCCTCCCCTCACATCATCCTGACACTGACTCTTCTGCCTCCTCCTCCTATTTACAAGGACTCCAGGGATGACACTGGGTCTACCTGGGCTGCTCCTTTTAAACCTAGCTGACAAGCAGCCTCAGCTCCCACTGCTTCCTTCCCCTTTGCTATGTAAGGTAACATATTCACAGGTACTGGACATAGCCACAGCAATTAGTATGTGGCCTCTTCAGGAGGACAGTATTCACCCTACCACACTGGCATAGGTAGATTACAGAACACCAGGCAGACATCTGACATAATGAAAATATTGAATAACATAAAATGAGTGTAATGGTGTGTTCTTCGGTGTGTAGGGGAAGGCATGGGATGAGACTACACTGACAGGCTCCTGAGCAGAAAGCAAGCTAGGGCATCTGGGATGTAACCTGCTAACCACAAATGGCTTAGGCTCTGGGCAAAAGTATCTCAACCTCCTTGTTCTGTGGTTTCCAACCAACACTCTCCTTCTAATTTAGTGGTCTCCCGCTCCTGCCTACTCACCTCTCTGCATACTTCCCAATTCTGAGCCTGGTCTGCAAGTCTCTGGCTTTGGAAGACAGCACCCTGGCTTTCAGGCTCTGCTTAGATGAGCATAGTTTCCCTCTGCTTCCTCAGCCTTCCTCAGCCCTCAAATGGCTGCATTTCTGGAATGCAATGAACTAGTTCATAGCCTTCCTCAATGAACTAGCTCTTTGTCTACTTATTCTCAGGTACTATTAGTGTCTTAAAGTTGACTGGCTGGTCTCCACAAGGAAGAAAATGGGTAACCAAAGTCACACATTTATAGGTTTGTTTATTCATCTGCTTCTCTTAGAATTGAGTAAGAGTTAAGGAAGCTGTATCCACTCTAGAGACAGCAAGTATTTCTAGAGTGCCCTCACCCTGGTTATTGTAAGAAACAAGGAGCCAAGGTGCAACAGAGGTGAGAAGCCAGGAATTATAGGAATTATAAATTAGCAAGTTGTACATGTTATCCCTGGGGGGCAAATTGTCCATGTTTGTGCCTCTTGGGTTCTAGATCTCTCCTCAGGAGAGAGCAATTGGAGCACCCAAACAGGTTGATTGTGTAGCTGAAGTTGCTTGGCTGGGCTCTAGCCTCCCACTGGGAGGGACCAGCCAATGGGGTTGGCCAAAGCTGGATGGGAACCAAGAACAGACCAGAAGAAGCACAGTGGGAGTACCAGCCACAGGCAGTGGTGGCACCCATGGGCTCCATAATTACGTTCCCTAGTGGCTCCCCAAAAAGACCATGGGCCTACTTACCAAGCTCTCCCCAAACCACTCCTTTATGTAGGCAGCTGTGGGGCCTGGGATCTGGCTCAGGAGGGCTGCCCTCTCCTGAGGGTGCTCCAGCGTCTCCAGGGCCAGCCTCAAGTCCTCAACAAGATGCAGCACTGGGAAGGAGCTCATGCAGGAAGCCGGGGAAGCCAGTCCAGGCTCACAGGTACCATCGCTAATGTCTGCACCAGTTTTTGTGCCTGGAACAAGAGAGAAGCAGGAACCTTATTTAAAAGGGTGGATGCCATTTTCAAGGAACTGGCCAAAAAAAAAAAAAAATACATCTTTAATCTTGGGTTGGGCATAAGAGGAAGAGACCTGTCAGGTGGACAATCCTCAGTGGAAACTCACACTTAGGAAACTAAGAAAACACAGCCAGTTCTCACCAGTGACCAAAAACAAGCTGGTTACAGCAATGAGATACCATTCTTCAGTTTTTCAATTAAAATGTGTTTGATTTTAAGTTTTAAAGTTAACGTGGTAACTAAGTTTTTAAGTTAATGTGGTAGGCTACAGAGATGGCCAGCATAAGTTCCTCCCATCCCACCCCCCTGCTCACAAGGTGATTCCTGACTTGGGCCTGGCCTAGTGACTGGCTGGGATCAACAGAGAGCAGTCGAGTGACTGTGTGCCAGCTCCAGGCCTGGGCTGTAAGAGGCTTAACAACTTCCACGCTCCCACTCTTCATACTTAAATCACCACGTTACAAAGCCTAGTCACATGCTGGAGAGAGTGAGGCTGTTTTGGGTCTTCCAGTCCCAGATGAGCCACCGCAGCTGACACGGTTTGGTGAAGGGATGACAATTATTACACTCATTGTGCTGAGGGCTTAAAGAATTGGAATCTTTATAGATCATGGAGATATCTATATTCCCTTGTGGGTGTAGTGTACAAGGCTCCTTTCAAGTTAAACAAGAGCAGGATGCTTGATCGCCCTGGGGCAACAGGTATACCTAGGAATGACCAGGAATGCCCGGGAGACCCTTGACTGATATGATTTGCACCCCAGGGACTGATCAGTGGAACGCCTTGTTAATAAGATTGGAGCTGTGGGTGGGGCTTGGAGTACATCAGTGGACTCGCTTACCCTAAAGCCAAAAAATCCAATATTCAGTTTGACCCACCCTTTTCTCTGTCAATAAAGAGGCTAGGATCTTGCTCTTGAGCGGCATCCTGCACCCAACAGCCTGCTCCACAACTCCTGTTTCTTTTCTTTATCACTGCAGTGTTGCTTACACAACATCCCCTGATGTATTCACACTTCCAACTTGTGTTAATTACAATGTATATTCACATCTCATCTCCCCATTAGGGGCTGGGAAGTCTCCAATGTCAGCTTCCCCACCACAGCTGAGTTCCTAGCATTGTGACCTTTGCCCAGGAGACAAACATCTACACACCTGCTTGGATGGAGAGCTAAGAGGGAGAGTGCTTAGATTTCCTCAGAGAGCTGGGATATTGGGTCAGCGCTTCCTAATTGTACATGCCCCAAATAGGATTGTTTTTGTCTTTCTAAATCTCACCAGTTAAAAGGAAAAAAAAAAATTCCTCTTTGCATAATGACAGAGATATATTTTCAAACCAATTCTAGGATGACACAGTCTTACCAAGGGATTCTGTGCTTCTTTCAGCAGTAAGAAACTTCATAAAATGTGGTTTACATGGTGGAACTGCTAGGGCATTTGAGTTGTTTATCAGGCCAACACGATAAATAATGTGAAATCAGGACTCTTGGAAAATGTGGGCTGTAAGGCTACCACATCCACAGCTACATGTCTTACTCTAGGCCCTCTGTTCTTCTGAGAGCCAGCTTCCTGCTTGCCACGGCAGTCTTTGGCATGAGAAATCCACACAGAAGGAAGCAATTACTATTTGATTGCCGGTTGGCTTTCCAAAAGTGCAGGATAGAGAGAATCATGGGTCACAATCCACAAACAAGTCAGAGGCTAGGGACTGTGATCACCCACACAATGACATGTGCTCTAAGTGCGAGGTGACTGGGAAGAGACAGTCACACTTTAGAGATGAAAATGGATGGAAGCAGGCAAGATTCCCCAATCTGCTGAGAATTACTGAGTAATTCCTCTCCATTCAGAACACACTCCAAAACACACACACACACACACCCCTTTATAAAAGTAGGGTGAGTCAAGCAGGGAGTAAGTAGGAAGAATAAGACTTTCACTAACTTTCTCCATGTAGTCATACACAAATCTCTTCCTTTCTCTGGGCCTCTCTGCCCAAAAGTCTTGGGATTCTTCCCTAAGCTTCAAAGAGTATGTACATGTGGGTCTATATGTTTGAGTACATGTGTGTCTGTGCCAAGTTTTATATGTAATGCATATATGGATAAATGCCTTTAAGTTCTATTTCTTGGCAACTAACATTTCTTTATCAAAATTAATAGTCAGTAAATACTAGATGGAGTGAAAATAGTATATGAGTGACAACATGTTCCTAAGAAAGATATAAGGGCAGTAACAGCAAAGCCCCAGATGACAAGTTCCCCTTGATTACAAATCTAAGAATTACATATGGTCATAGGACAGAAAACTAAAGGAAAAAGAAACATCTAAATACCACCCTTGGTCTTGAGGATGTAAAATGAGAAAATGCTGTTGGGTAGAAAGGCATCCGCAGAATAATACGCTGAGCCTAAATTTCCTCTCCTAGAAAAATGCGGTGACCTACCTCCAATAGGCCCCTAATGACCCACCCTTGACATTCCTGCAATTATTCAGTTCCCCTCCTGTGTCTTATCAAGATTGCTCTGAGTGACCACTAGAATATGTCATAAGTGATGGGTGTCACTTCCAAGGTTAGAGCATAAAAGCACTGTCACTTGCCATGTTCTCTCTCAGATCACTCAGGTTGGGAGAAGCCTGCTGCCACACTGTAAAGACACCCAAATATACCATGGGAAAGTCCACATGGCGAGGACCTACGGCCACCTATAACAGCTGTCCAGGAGTTAAGCCCTTCTGCCAACAGTCATGTGAAAGGACAATCTCAAAGCAGCTCCTCCAGCCCCCAGCAAATCTTAGGTTAACAGTAGCTCTGGTTGAATTCTTAATGTAACCTCATGAAATATCTTGAGCCAAAACCACCAGCTAAGCCACTCCTAAATTCTTAGACCACAGAAGCTGAGAAATAATAAATGTTTATTATTGGGGTCATTTGTTATAAAGCGATAAACAATATAAATAGCTAAGAACATTCTGCATGTGTAATCAAGGGGAACTTGTCCATGCACCACTAAAATATGCGGCTAAAATTACTTCTATTACAAAAAAATGAGATCTTTGTTTTATATATCATACAACAAAAATAAAATTTAGACAGTTAAGTATTATATGTGAAAACTTAAACTATAAAATAAATAGAGAAGGTAGATCAAAATTGAGTTAGAGAAATATTTAATAAGGACAAGAACAATCAAGCAAGACATAAGAAATCTGACTATAAAATATTAACTTCTAGAATATTAAAAACAAAAGACAAATTACAGCCTAAAAAAACATTGTAGAAAAAAAAAAAGAAATCTTACATTAATAATAAAAATGCCCCAAACCACAAAAATGGATAAAAACTTCTATAGGGGCAATTATCAAAGATAATTAAAAACCCAAAACACAAGCAGACAATAAAAATATGGTAAGAAAATATTTTCTTACTAGCAAATAAACAATTTTTAATGATAATTCGTTTTTTCACCTACTTGTTGAAGTTGAAAATGCAATAATAGTCTATATATTTGAAAATTGTGGAAGGAGTAGATGGTAAAAGTTTTCAACACAAGAAGAAAAACTTGTAACTGGATGTTAACTACACTTGCTATAGTGATCATTTTGCAACATATACAAACATCAAGCCATGATGTGTCATACACCTGAAACTAGTAAATGTTCGATGTCAGTTAGGCCTCATTTTTTAGAACAAAGGAATACAATATTCAATGCTGGCAAGCAGGAGGTGAGAAAGTTACCCTCACATGCTGTTAACAGACAAAAAATTTATCTAACCAATACTGAAAAGACAATTTGGCAAGATGTGGCAAAAATACTTATACCTTTAACTTGGCAATTTCAATTCCAGAAATCTAGTCAAAGGAAATGTAACCAGACATGTTGTCAAGATTAACATACAAAAAATGGTCTCAGCAGTGTCATTAATTGCAAAAAAGTAGGTGGGGGGGAATCTCAAATAGGGAAGAGTCAGAGAATATAACTCATGTAGGTCAATTGTCCAGCGATTCAGTAACAGGGAACTACTTCTACTATTCAGTAACAAGAAAATTAGAATTAAGACATAAATATGGATGCATGTGTATATATAAACCAACACACAGCATGCTGAAAGTAAGTGATATGAATCAGGCACGTGGCCTGCATGGCCCCCCCATGGGTCCTACTGAGGCTTGAAAGCCCTCAGGATGCTGACAACATGGGAGTCAGTCCTCCTGGGGCAGTAAATAAGTGACTAACAGCTCACAGGTTTTCTCCTTGATCAGATTTCCTCCTGGCAGGAACTGCACACTGAAGGGTGGTGGGGGACTGCAGGTATTTTCACAGGACAATCACTTTAGGAAATCTCAGAAAGGAGTCCCTTTCCCCCACAGTGAACAAGTAGAAAAGCTGGAAAAGATAACAACTTTTTTTTTTTTTAACATACAGCCAAGCTTGAAAGAAAATTAAAAGCTTCGATGGGTGTCAGAAACAATGAGGGAACTCAATGTGAAGTAAGGTCAAGCTGACCCTAGAGCAGGCCAGACCCAGATACAGGACATGGTGCTGCAGACTGAGGTTTTAATGCTCCCATTGAAAACAGTAGGCTCAAGTGAGGACTGGAGGGAGGGAGGGAGGGAGGGGCTGGGGAGAGAGGGAAAGACACAGAGAGAGAGAGAGAAACCTCAAGTATTGTCTTTTTCAGGAAGAAAGATCTGAAAATACCCCTGTGGCAGGGAATGATGTAAAAAGCTGGGAGCCCCCCTGCATTTTAGAAAACTATGTGTACACATACACCCTGTGAGAAATCAAGCTCAGGCCTCTGCATGCCACAGATAAAATGTCAAGTTTCCACTCTGCACTTAATACTAAAATCCTAAACCAGAAGTTAACACACAGTGCAAAGTGGTTTAGCATGATGAAACTCGTAAGGCCTCAGCAAAAAAAAAAAAAAAAAAAAAAATAAACGCAAAGGCAAAATTGTCCAGAGGGCTTGGTTGTGCATTGTGTATACATTCCGTGCAGATGACTGCCTCCAGTGAAAAATTATAACCACAAAGGAAAACAAATCAAAATGGAATACTAGATGCAACAAATAAGCAAATGTATATCCTTATAGCTAGGATTATTAGCAAAACAACATAAAAGAAACAAAAACTTACTGTTAGATATGCCTAAATATAAGGCAAGCTGTTGACCCCTCAAAATTACTTTTCAGAAAAGAGCAATTCGCTTGTACTCAAGTTCTAATAAAGTTTCTCTTTGAAGGCATTCTCCATACATCTTTATTTTGAAGACCAAAGCACTCCGTAGGGAAGATTAACACAGAGTGTTTCAATTTTACATGCACATTGAAATCATGTGGGGAGTTTTTACAACTATGATGCCTGGGTTCCACCTCCAGAGCGTTCTAATTGAGTTGGCCTGAGGTGTGCCCTGGGAGAGTAAGAAACTTTCCAGATGTTTCTCATGTGTAACCTAAGTCGAAGCCATTGCATTCACAAATCACTTCAGTCAATGCTATATTTTGATGTTTAGAATTTTCATTTTAAGGTTGCAAAAGCAAAATTTAATACAGATTTAGTATATGGGCTGTAGGGAAAATGGAGTTAAAATCAGGCTTTTTTCCGCCCTCCCACTGCTAGCTTCTTAGGGCTACCACCTGCAGTCTTATACTCCTCCTAAGTTGCGTGGGTGTCCTGGCCAAGAGGCGTGTGCTCAGGGTACGCTCACCTATGATTATGGACATCTGGACCCAGAGAGCACCAGGCATGTTCATACGTGAGAGCGGACACCTGTGCCCAGAAGCTAGGGATGCACAGTGGCGTCACTCTGAGGTTGGGGAGGGCTCAGTTGCTGCCTTCCTGCCAGCTGGTCTGTCCTCTGATTCAGCATTAAAAGCCTGTAAAGTGATAGTGAGGGCTCCAAAATTCTCTTTTCATCTGCAGGAATCGGCAATGAACTGACCCAGCCTGGGATGGTTGCACAACTAAAATATTAGTATAGGATTTTACTGAAAGCCTTTATTGATCATTTAAAATATATATATATATATATATATATATATATATGTGGTAGTAATTAGGGTTATGCAGAAATATGCTGGCTCTCCTCATCTTGAACTTAGGTAAGCTTATACTGGAAGTTACTCATGGCCACATAATTTCTTTTGGCCAATAAATATGAGAAGTGACATGTACACGATTCCCAGACCTTTTACCCCTGCCCTGGCCTCTGGCAATGGTGGAGGCCAAATCACCCTGTTTCCCAGAGTCATGATGACAGGCAGGGAGCAACGGCAGGTCTGGGGGAAACTTGTCATGCAAGCAAGAAATAACCTTCGCTGTTACAAGCTACTGACATTTAGGACTATTTGTTACTACATCATAGTTTAGCCTATACATGCTTTACATCTCAGAAATATATACATGTCAGAAAAAGGTGCAGACATTGCCTCTTTTTTAGCTATCATAAAGCAGATTCCTTTTAACAATTTGGGATCAATGAGTACAGCTTGCAGAAATCTGCCTGAGTAATCTCCTGCCACAGCAAAGAGGAATAAGTGTCCTGACTACAGGGTCCTCTGGTCCTGTTATAGAAGTGGCCTTCCAGAGCTGCCTCTGAACCTGTCAGCCCACACATTAAGCCGCATACAAAATCAGAGCATGTGGCAATTGTTCTGGGCTATCCAGAAGGATATAATTAAGCAATGTATTTTCAATTTCAATTCTCAACTGTGCATTTCAATTATAGTTGACTCACAGGAACGAAGAGGAAGAAGGCCAGATCACAGGTTAATAGCCTACTAGAATTTACAAAGTTCTTTTGACAAGGTTCTGGTGTCCTGAAACAGTCAATCCCCTCTTTCCCACTTAGTGGCATAAAATTCAAGGGGTCCTAGTCAAGTACAGTCACATTTGAGAAATCCCCATTAAGGTTGCAAGATTCAACTTTATAAGGAGTTTCATCTCTTCACAGGCATTTTTTTTTCTTGCACCCACCCCAGAGCCACCAAGTGCCTGGACATGAGTCCATACATGGTGGCTCTGGAGGGCCCCCTTGGCACCTGTGCATTAGGCCATCCTTGTGTAGTCTGTACTCCTGACTGGCTAACAGGAGAAGATAATCCCCTTTGTTGTTTGTGCTGCTGACAATGATTCGAGGAAGGGGATACCTTTTTTGCAGTAGAGGCTAAATTATATAAACATTATCACATGCCCTAAATGTGCTCTTTTGGGAAGAGCTTTGGAACGTGAAGAGTAGCCTACCATACCATGGAGAAATTTATAAATGTTATTTAGTGGTGTAATTATTAATTATTATTATTGAAGTAACTGCCCATTTTAGTAGGAATCCATGTTGGTCTTGCATAAATAGCAGCTATTTGGCGTGTGCGGTGGTGCTATTTGGTAGTGTTGGTGGAACTACATGACATCATTCTACTTCAAATTAGGAAGAGAATATAAAAAAGATTTCAATGTTGCAGAAAAACGTATTTTTGCAGGATCTGTGGCATCATGATTTCATGCCACAGCTTTCAAGCTTTTATTTTAGCTGTGCCACCCTTTAAGCAAAGGACCCCTGCCTGGGAAGCTTAATGTATAGGAGCGGGAAGCCCTTCCTCCTAAGGGGCTGGGAGCAAGCAGAACTGGCCCTACCCCTCAATTCACTCTTGCCCCCTATAGTCAAACCCCAGGGCCCTGCTTCAGCATAAAAGGAACACAGGGATGAAGCTGTCTAGGAGACTCAGCGACCCTGGACTCTCCCATCTTATTTCCGTCACAACCAGCATGGTGACCTTGGGGGTAAACATAAAAATGTCAATACTGATAGTGACAAAACAATCAGCAACTTACACCAATTGAGTACTTACAAGGTGCCCTATTTGCATTAATTAATCCCCCCAGTTAAAGGAGTGAGGTGCTATAATTACCAGTGTTTTACAAATGAGAAAACAGACTCAGAGGGATTAAGCAATTTGCCCAAAGGGGCCACAGTGTTGACCTGGGATTCAGAATCAAGACACGATTGATTAACCACCTTGAGCTGGACCTAGCATTCTGCGCCAGTTTGGTCCAACCATCTTGAAAATGAGGAGGTATTTATAATCCTCAGGAAAAGTGTCCTTCACAGACATTTGATAATTGTCATCGTTTCATCATAGAAGGCACAGGATATAAGTCCTCCAGACACTAATAACCTCAATGTTGAATTATCTGTCAAATAGCCCCTGTCAAATGTCTGTGTGAGCCAATTATTATTTAAAAGATGGTTTGCAGGAGGTGCCAACAACTGAGTCTTCAAAAAAATCGGTGATGTGTTATTTCAAAAGTATCAGCCAATGTAAAGTACAAACAGAGAAAAAACAAAATGAAGTTCAGTATGTGGCCAGCTAGTGCATGTGTGTAGAAACCAATAACTGCATCTGGAGCAATGAAAAGGACAGCCTGGTCACAAATGTAAATAAACTACACGTGTGACACACATTTATTAGACACCTGTGACGTGCTGCAGACCAGTGGAAGCACCGGAATGGGCCAGCAAAGCCTCCCTCAACATGGAACTTACATTCTGGGGCAGGAGGCAAATAAAAAACAAAAAAACAGGTATGAATGTAATTAGCCAGGCGGTGGTGAGAGCTGTAAAGAACATAAACAGGACACAAGGGCAGAGAGCCATGTGGTGGTAGGGGGCGATGCTATCTGACTGAGCCTCTCTGGTATGGTGACATTTCAGGAGAGACCTGATCTGCTCTTTCTGGAGGACAGCATTCCAGCAGAGGGAACAGCAAACACAATGGTCCTGAGACTGCCAATGCAGGTGGCTGAAGTGAGAGGAGCCAGAAGGAAGGTGGGAGGAGATGCAGTCAAAGCGGCATTCGCGTCAGTGCATTCACAAGCACGGCTGGTCATGATGAGGACTTTAGATTTTATCCTGAGATGGGAAATCATTGAAAAGTTTTGGGGAAAGGAGTGAGGTGATTTGATTTATAGGTTAAGGATTACTCTGCTACTCTGTGAAAGACAGGCTATAAGGGGGATAAGAATGGAGCAGGACTATCTTATAGACCCTGGGGGAGCCTAGGGAGACATGCCTTATACAACGAAAACCACACAATTCAAATGGGTGAAATAAGGGCCCAAATATAAGCACAGCAATATTCTCAGGTGGATACTACTATTAGTCCCATTTTTAAGTGAGAAAACCGAGGAAGAGATCAAGCAAGTATTGATAATTTGGGTAGAGCTAGGACTCAAACCAAGTAGTCTGGCTCCTCCCTCCCACTCTGCAAAGAATGTCTTGGGAAGTCTTAGACGCCTCTCTACAACCAACACTCACACTAGTTCAGGCAGAGCAGCCCAAGGAGCCACCTTCCAGAAGGACTGTGCCAGGTTGGAGGATGAAGGAAATGGACGTAGGAGGGAGCTCTTTGTGCTGGAAGGCCAGAGGGATGAGTCTCCTGGTTTCCACACACCTACTGTCCCTTCCTCCACACCCAGTCCAGATTCTCACCTGTAGATCCTGGGCCCCGAGGATCCAGCCACACAGTTCTCCCAGAGACAGGGGATTTTGCCAGAGGCTTTGTCCTTTTCGGAAGGTCTATGTGGGGAAAAGAGAAGGCAGGAAGAGGGACTGACCCAGCACAGTGGCCTTCTTTAGGAGTCATGCATCCCTCACAGCCATCCAGGAGTGTGGTGCTCGGCTAGGGACCCTCCTCCTCCCTCTTTGCTCTCTCCCTTACCCCTCCCCCTCCCCCCTAGTCCTTGGCTGGGAGGAACAGAACTAATGACCTGAGTCAGAGTGCCTGAACCTGTGGCTCTGATCTCAATGCATAAGCCTCTAAAAGGAAAGCTTAGTAATCCACTCTCAACTTTCTTCTCCAAAGAGAACATGAGGGACCCTAATCTAGAACAGGACATGCCAATCTATGGAGCCTCTAAAAAATGAGACAATAGGCATGGCCTGTCAATTCACAGTGAAATTAAGCTCCTGGCAGATGACAGGTGGAGCACATTGTAGTGTCACCAATAACGTGGAGAAGCTTTGACACAGACAACTGCCCCCGCTCCAGGAGCAAACACCCAGAACCTTCAGTAAGTCAGAGGTATCTCTGCAGCATGGATGGAAAGCAAGAAAAATACCCCAAAGGAGTAAGGCCAGGCACCCATGCGTGTCCTGGGCTCTGGCCACACTCGGCCCAAACCTCCCTCTTCCAGCAGCAGCTCCCCATGATGAGATACAAAGATCCAAAGAAGCACACCCATCAGCAAATAAGGTGAATGACCTGTGTCAGTAAGGACAGAAAAAGATCTGGGCCCTTTCGGAAAGATGTTCAATGACAGGCTTACTCTAACCAACGTGGGTTTCTGTTGCCTCCATCAGAGAGTACATCAGCCAAACAGCCTACTGGCAGTCTTTTCCAATTAACCAGTTTTGCTGGATCTTTTCTAGAGGATATTCCTAACCAGCTGATGCAAATATTATGCCAGTTGAGATAGACAAAACAATATGGAATAAAGAACATTCTTTAGGTGATTAGGTGAGTCAGTGCAAAACTGCCTCCTGACTCCAGAGTGTACTCGAGATCAGAAATCAGCTGAGAAGTGAATTGACAGCTGCATTAGGTGGCAAAGTCTGCTGGTTTTTGAGTTTCACTCTAATAGCCCTAATAGGCTTTGAAAAATTTACAGTCAATTCAATCTCATTGCACCCAAACTTCCTTGCAGGTAGGATCTAAACAGTTACATACATGCTAGCATAGGGTACATCCATTCTGTTTTAACAGAGACCTAAGCTGTTCTACAAGTTTGTGCAGGTCTCCCCCACTATCCTAAAGTAAAGTGTTCCTATGAAACCTCCTGTAAACCAAAGTGGCATAAAGTGAAGAAGCAATTACCATTTCCATTAATTAAATGGAAAGAACTTTGAGTGTTTCCAGACCCGAATAGAAGATACCAAATGATACCAAATAACATAAAACTAAAATAGCACTAATGTGTGGTAAAAGCAGGAATGTTTTGACATATGTATGACATGATACGTATATGATATGATAGAGACAGCCTGTAGAAAGTAGTGCCCTAGGAAAGAGTCTGGCAGTGCCACTCTTGCCTGGGTGTGCACACTTTTTGTAACAGCTGCTGCAAAGCAAATATTGAAGGCTATTTTCACTTCCCATAAAAGTGGAAATCCGGGGGCCTCCCTGGTGGCTCAAGGGGTTAAGTCTCAGTACTATGAAGCTTTGGTTGCAGAATAAGTTTGATCCCCAGCCAAGGAGCTGACCCACATTGCACAGCAGACCTCTCCTGTCCTGCCCGCTGCTCCCCTCAGCAGTGTATTTCAGTAGATCCGCCTGTTCTGCTCCCCACTCTGTCTCTGGTGAATGCTTTCACCTACCCCACAACCTCTGGCCTACACCCCAGCTCTTATATACATAAATAAGTAAAATAAATCTTTTTTTAGAAAAAGTGAAAATCCCATTCGGTTTTCTTTCGGTTAATGAAAACAGGCACGAATGTAGGTCTTTGGTAAAACCAAATGACATAATGGGAACTTTAGAAAAGCAGGGGATACTTGTGCTCTTAAACAAAGAGATGGCATACACAGTAAAATAAAGTAAGTCTAAGGAGGGCTTCTCTTTGTGCCAATGAGAAAAGTAAAATGAGAGAAAAGTTTCCCGTGTGCAGAGGACAAGACAGAAGGCACCAGGGCTCCTGCCTATACCTGCAATGATGCCATCCATCTGCTCCAGGGCAGCTTCCAGCGCGTGACTAGCATCCGAAGCCATGCCTCCTCTTGCCTGCTTAGACTCCTCCTTCTCTTACTGAAAATTCAAATGCAGAACAAAGGTGAAATTACAGGGAGTTCCAGGTTACGTGTATAAGACTGCAAAGCCCTCTTATTTCATCACCATGCAGTGTGTTCTTGTAAGAATCCAAGTGGCTGATGCGCAGTCCCTGCCATGGCTACGGCCTCTCCCACCAGGTGTGAACGCTGTTTTCCCATGGAGATTTAACACAGGATTGGCTCCTGTAATGCAAGGTCCCTGGGGCTCTCCAAAGTCAACTGCAGCTGGGGAACAGCAATTGCCCGGCCTTGCCATCATTACATCCCAAGTCCGGAAGCTCCACCCACCACCGGGGAGGGCTCCCTTGCACTGGGGAAAGCCTCACAGCTGAGAGGACTCTCAGGATGTGCCCCGCAGCGCAGGAGTCAGTTGTCTCATATCTGTGTTTGGGCGACGCCTGAAATGCTTTCCTTGAGCAGCTGTGATCCGGGCTCAAGGAAAACTAAAATGCAAAACAAAGCGGACTCAACTGCCACCTTGACCTCTGGAGCGGGCAGGTATGCCCAGCAGGGAAGGCTGTTTGCATGTTGTATTGAGGCGAGTACTATGGAAGGAGCCGGGAGCACTGTGTCTTGCCATGTTGGCCCCATTCAAGGTGCAGAATCCCATCGTCTCAGGGCTGAAGACTTTCCCATGCACACATAGTCCAGATACCCTTGAATGTGCAATCTCTCCTCTGAATCCTATCAAGAGTGGAGGGGAACTGCCTCCCCACTGCCAGCCCAGGCAACTGCTCCCATCTCCAGACAGCTCTGCCTCTTTAAGCTTTAAGCTAAACTGCCTTCCTGAGGTCTCCTTATTTTTCTTGCTTTCTGTCTCCTTGGGTGGCAGGGAGGGACTTAGAACAGCATTTGTAACCCTGAGAAGAGACTTAGCCCATATCTGCAAAGTAGCAGTAGAGTTGTTTGCTCATACCACAAAACCCATGCACGTGCCCAGTGGGCAGAGGGGCTGTGACCAAACAAGGCAGTGCTCCCGTACCCCAGAATGGCACAGGTGAGGGAACACAAAGTTCTCAGGGTCTCTGCTCATTTTCCCTGGGAAGCTGGGCCTGTGACGAGAAGGACATGAGCAGCCATGGAGAGGTGGTTCTGGAGATGGTGTGGATAAGGATTTTAGGACCACAAAGAACCACCCCGGACTGTGCCAGGCCATCTTAAATCGTCTGGGTTTAAGCCAGATCTGCCAATGACCATAATCTCTGAGCCTCAGTTCCCTCATATGAAAAATGAGAATAATGACAGTAACTAACTCACAGGGTTGATACCCTGATTAAATGAGAAATTAATATTTCATAGAAAATGCTTAGTATATTCTTTTGCACAGACTGCTCAAAAGTGTTTGTTGTTGTTGCTTTAGGTGAGGAGATAATCTCAGGATGTATCTGTGCCAGGATAACTCACCAGGAGAGAAACTTCAAAATGGAGTCAGCTCGGGGAGGAAGAACCCAGATAAGCCCAAGAAGCTGGTTCCCTGGCGAAGGGAGGCCTGGCAAAGAAAGGAAAGCAACTGCATGTGTGGAGCAGGGAGGGCTCCCTCAGTGATTCATGGTTGCAAAGGCCAAGGAAGGCTCAGAAACAGAGAGTGGGCCTCCGCAGTCCGAGAGGATTGCACCATTGGCCAGGGGGTGAGAAAGGGAGTGTAAACGGGGGTGGGGGCCTCACTGGCATTGCAGGGCCTGGCAGGAGTCGGGCAAGGCTACAGCAAGGAATGGGATTACTCTGTAGGGAGAAGAGCAGCCCAGACAGCTACAGAGCAAACAGGGTAGGCAGACCTCAGGCCTGAACAAAGCAAGTCTGGGTAGAGATGAAAGAAGAGGTAGCAGAAGCAGGGTAAAAATCAGCATCTCACCCCTGTTCGGCCATACTGGATAAAAGTCTGAAATATTCCCCCCTAAAGACTTCTCACTGTTCCGAAGCAAAAATCCAAACTCCTGACGGTGACCTTTGAAAGAAGAGCAGCAGGATCTGGCTGGCCAGCCCTAGCTGGTGCTCTCCCCTGGTCAAGCACTGGTCCCCTGTCCAGTCCCCAAACACTCCAGGACCGTTTCTCCTCTGCAAGATTACACCTGTCACTCCCGAGATCTCTGTAGGGCTGATTTATTCTCTTACTTCAGACCTCAGCTCCAAAGTAGCTTCTGAGGGTGGCATCCTTGCATACCTCCACCAAAAGCAGTCTCTTAGGGCTGGGCAGTTCCACAGTATCTCACTCTTACACGGTTTCCTTGCTCATTAGCCCTGCTAACCCTCTCTATGGAGGCAGGGGGAACATGTCTGCCTGTTCACCCGATGTGCTCAGTGGCTGCCAGAGTGCCCAGTGACTAAATGATGGCCCCATGCAGCCAACAGTCCCTGAATGCTGCTGTGCTGATGTAAGGGCAGGAACGGGCACAGTGCAGGTTTTCTGATCCCATGCAGACCGGGTAAAGGAGGAGTCAGAGTCCTCAGTAGTTTTGCAGGTTTTTATTTGGGGTTCACCAGGCATATGGCAGGCAGGGGTGCTGGCTGGGGGGCTGGGAGGCTGGCAGGCCTCCCAGCCCCCAGCAAGTCCTCACTCTATCTGGGCTCTCTAGCGTTCGTTCTGCTGCTTCTCGGCTTCGGCTGCGGCTGCTGCTGGTGCTGGTGCTGCTGGCGTCCCCCCGTGACGCCGCCCTTAAAAGCACAGTCTTAGCTCAGCTGAATCCCATCTACCTATGCCCACACCCTATTCCAGGTGCCCACCATCAGGCATGCATTCAGGACAAGGATCCATCATCTATCCTGATGGCGGAAGGGCAGAAAAGCCTGATATTTTCTTTACCCTACAGTCCACCCCCTCAGGGTTTTCTGCCATACAGTCTATACATATATACACAATTTTCTAAGCAAACAATGCAGCCATGGCCCACAAAAGCAAATACATCAAATAACAAAATACAACATAACAAAATACAACAGAACACAAATAAGTCCAGGCAGGGCACCAACCAAGTGCAAAAGACAATTATTGGTACCAGCAGATAAGCCACCAATCTGCTGCCGAAGGCACTGCTCATATGAGGGAGGGGAATCACTCACGGCATCTACTATAACATACCAGGAGCCGTCAGGCTTCCTGGCCTTCTCTGGCTGTCGTCTAGGCTACAGGCACACAGCATCCACCCCCAGGATGCACTAGCTCTGGGATTGGCAATTTTATTCTGTTGGGGGTAATCACCAACCCTCAGGGTTTCTGTCTGCAGTCGCTCCAACACTCGGCCTTCATGGCCACCCATGCGACTCACAGACCCCTGCTCTCAAGCCAACCCACTGCACAAGCACATGGGTTGGGGATCCAAACTTTGCATTTGGCTTGGGCTCCACCCCAAGCCACATTCCCCACCGTCCCCCAAGGACGGGCTCCTCAGCTCCTCACCCTCACTCAAGAATGAGCAGGGCATCACCCACAGGTGATTTTACGAGACTCACAGGTCTTCAGCATACCCAGGCTGCTTAACGGCCACTCAGGGCTTCTCAACTTATCATCAGTACCAGCTTTTGCTTTCTTAGTTGGCTTTTCTCTCCACCTGGCTGCTGGGCATGCACAGGCTGCTTTTGGCCATCTAGGCCCACTGGCCACCCCCAGATTCTCAAAAAAAAACATAACCTGCCAAGGTCCTCCGCTTTCTGGCAGGATTGTCAGTCCAGGTTTATCAGTCCATGTCCATTGGCCTCTCCCTGCGTCAGCAATGGCCTGCTGCCTCAGGGTTATTGGCTGGTCCTTTCCGGTGTTGGTGGCTGGTCCTTTCCGGTGTCGTTGGCTGGTCCTTTCGGGCATCTCCTTCACGCCAGGTCTCATCCTGTAGTTCGTGGACGTATCCATCTTCTACCGCCATGGCGCCTCCAGCGTCGTCACAGGCAGTCTTTTACTCCTTAGTCCCTCCAGGTCTTTGGAGGGCTCCAATACCCGTCTACATGGATCCTGCCGACTTACGCCAATTGTAAAGGCAGGAACGGGCACAGTGCAGGTTTTCTGATCCCATGCAGACCGGGTAAAGGAGGAGTCAGAGTCCTCAGTAGTTTTGCAGGTTTTTTATTTGGGGTTCACCAGGCATATGGCAGGCAGGGGTGCTGGCTGGGGGGCTGGGAGGCTGGCAGGCCTCCCAGCCCCCAAAGTCCTACTCTATCTGGGCTCTCTAGCGTTTCGTTCTGCTGCTTTCTTCGCTGCGGCTGCGGCTGCTGCTGGTGCTGGTGCTGCTGGCGTCCCCCCGTGACGCCGCCCTTAAAAGCACAGTCTTAGCTCAGCTGAATCCCATCTACCTATGCCCACACCCTATTCCAGGTGCCCACCATCAGGCATGCATTCAGGACAAGGATCCATCATCTATCCTGATGGCGGAAGGGCAGAAAGCCTGAATTTTCTTTACCCTACAGCTGAGGATTGGGGAGGGGGGGTGAATATTGCCACATCAGATCAAGGAAAAGACAGAAGTAGGAAGCCAAACCTCAAATTATCATGACACAGGTGCCAGATGTGCTGGGAGATAGGTATGCAGTTTCCCTGGGTCTTGAAAGGATGAGTAGGAGCTTTCTCAGAAGCTAATGGGGTAAGAATGCCATTCTAGGCAGAGGGAGTAGGGCATGAAAGGTAGAAAAGCATGTACGGGCAGGATGTGGTTGGCAAATGTTACAATGGTTGATGAGATTACACGGGAGCATCCAGCTGCTCACCATTAGTCAAGCCTTTCATGGCATTCACGTAAATGTGACAGGACAATTAATGAGAGGAGCTGGGCAATCACACCCACTACATCAGGGGTCTGGATGTATAAACAAATCAAGTGACCTCAGGTGTAATCACAGAGATTTTGAAAAGGATTTCCATTTCAGCAGACTGGCCCCATCTGGGGCTGACTACCAGGGTGAAAGGCAGTGGGTGTAGTTAGAAGGTGCCAGGCCCAAAGGGCCCAGGCTATGTCCCCCTGCAATAGATGGGACCATAAAGAAGACCCGTGGCCCTCTGCCCAGTGATGAGTGTGTATTGGCAAATACACACTGGGTGGACCGTGGGAGCTAGTGTGAAGTGAAACATGAGTCAAAGCTGTATCACATCTACAACCCAGGAGCCTGGGGCCAGTGAGATCGGGAAGCTCTGGAGCTGG